CTCTCCCTAGGCTTAGGGTAAGGAGTCGCCTCCCGATCCTTTACAAGCTTCTTCCTCCCAGATTGGGAGGGTCTTTTGGCCGACTGTTTCTTCGGTGGAACGATCGCCCTTTTGTTGATAAGCTCCTAGATCTCCCCCTTGAAACTATTCATGAAGGTCATGAGTTCGTTTCTAGTGATGGGGAAGATCCCTCGACCGCCTGTTGATGATCAAGCGGCGGGCCGGCTGGTTTACTAGATCCAGCCAGGCAGTCCTCCCGTTCCCTCCTTTCGGTGGGACGGGTGCGTCGAGCTCTTAAGGTCCCGTCAGAGCCCGTATGAGTCTCGACTTCAATTTTATTGTCAGTATCCTGGTCCGTCAGAACCATCAAGGGGTCGTCCATGGGACGCTTCTCACTTAGAATCGGTACAGACTATGATTCCATCTCGAAAGTACTCTCCCCACAGACGGCGCCAAAATGTTTCGAGGTTTTTTTATGTCCTGCGGGAGAGTTACAATTCCGGGACTGGATCCGTGCGCCTGTTCCTACAAAACAATGGAGACTCCGGGTGGTGGGAGCTCCACCTCCGACGATCAAGTTAGTACTTGTGTGTGGAGTAAAAGGTGCGGAAAGTAAAGAGGGTGATCCGGTTCCTCGGAAGGGAGGAGTGATCGGGGAGTGCAAATAGTGCTAAGTCTGGTCTAGCAATTAGTATGCACGTGCGTTTAGGCTTCTCTAGGCGAGATGATTAATTAATTCTTGTATATGCTTAAATGAAGGCTAATTATTGTATTTATAGCCTTGAAGTACGCGCCCAATCCTAGGTTAAATGGTAAACCTAGGACTGATTGGGCTTGCCTCGGGATTCAGGCCCAGTCGGTTGTTTTCCATGTTGGCTGATGGTGGGCCACATGGCGCGGCACGATTGATCCATGTTGGACCTCTCAGAGCATGACACGTGGCAGCCCCTGAATGGTCCACGTGGCTAACACGTGGCAGGTGCTGACTGGTCCACGTGGCGGGGAAAAATCCCCTAAACATAGTTTATCTCATATTTCATGGCCTCTTGCCATTTAGCAGAGTCGGGGCTCGTCGTAGCTTGTTTGTATGTCGCTGGCTCATCTCCATCCACGACCAGGATGTCCTGATCTTCAGTTAAGACAATACCAAGGTATCTGTCTGGTTGAGATCTTGGCCGTTGCGACCTACGAAGGGTAATAGGTTGAGCATTTACATTGTCTGTTTGATTCTGACCAATCTTATCAACTGCTTCTAAAGCATTTTGATTGTCAGTTTTATCAAGTTGACATTGTTGCTCATCCTCTCGAACTTCGTCGAGTTCGATTTTCCTCCCACTTATCATTTTGGAAAGGTGTTCCTTCTTCAAAAAGACACCATCACGAGCAACAAATACTTTGTTCTCGGATTTATTGTAGAAGTAATACCCCCTTGGTTACTTTTGGGTAGCCCACAAAGAAACACTTGTCTTATTTTGGGTGAAGCTTGTTAGAAATTAATCTCTTGACATGTGCTTCGCAACCCCAAATCTTAAGAAAAGACAACCTTGGAGGTTTCTTCGTCCATAATTCATATGGAGTCTTTTCGACAGCTTTTGACGGAGCACGGTTCAGTGTAAGTGCCGCAGTTAGTAGCGCGTGTCCCCAGAAAGAGATAGGAAGTTTATTAAGACCCATCATTGATCGAACCATGTCTAACAAGGTTCGATTTCTCCTTTCGGATACTCCATTTCATTGAGGAGTTCCAGGAGGTGTCAGCTCTGAAAAAATACCATTTTCTTTCAAGTGATCGTCAAATTCATGGCTTAAATATTCGCCACCTCGATCTGATCGAAGTGCTTTAATCTTCTTGTCAAGTTGATTCTCAACTTCACTCTGAAATTCTTTGAATTTCTCAAAGGATTCAGATTTATTCGACATAAGGTAGAAATAACCATATCTACTATAGTCAATGGTGCAGGTAATGAATTGTCTTAGTTTTGTAGGCGGTATCAACTTTTGTCATATGTAAGAACATGCAATTTCCATTGAACAATATAAACAAGACATTTTGAAACAACTATTGTAAAAGTCTTACGATCAAAATAACTTGGTGTCCAACACCATAGATCATATTATGTTCAAAAGCATTATGAAACTAAGATTAGTTTAATTACAAGTTATAGACATAATGGTGCATGCAAGCACAACCGAAAAACCATCTTCGTCGTTTGCTCGTTTTGCACGTACACTTGATAATCTTCTCACTTGGTCCCTGAAAAGGCAACATAAAGTGAGTCATATTTGGTATCTAATACTTATGATTTGCTAAATGCACAAGTGTTTAAGGAAGATAGTCCGGGACCTCGGGCAACTTGCACTTCTGCCCTAGCAGACTCGGCTTCCGGTTATAGGTCCTAAGTTTGAAGTTCTCTTGTTTTGTGGGGGCAGAAACTAGGTAGAAGCGGTTCTTCCAATCTGACCACTTAGACGGTTTGTCTAAAGTTATCAGGTATTTGGGGTAAGTGGTCAGAGTATACCAGGCTCTCCACCCGCCTGGACTTCGACTCAAGTAGTGCATATGGGCAAAAGCCTCCCAGCCGGGATGGAGACCTTGCATTTCGCAAGTGGCGATGTAGCCTTAGATGTTAACCCAAGAGTTTGGGGTTAACTGCCACACGCCTAAACCATATCCTCTTAAAATGGCCTTTATTGTGTTGTGCAGAGGGAAGCGAAGACCAGCTAAAAAGGCCACCTCATAGCAGCCGAACTATCCGTTTTCATTGCATTGATCATCTTCCCAAGCTATTGTACCTAGCTCAGGCGGAACCCGAATGGTATACCCCGCTCCTAGAGGCCGTTTGAGGATAAATTTTTCTAGATTTCTTTCCATGTTAGCCTTATCTCTGGCTGAGACCTGGATCTAGAGGGGATCACCCTTATTGTTCCAAGTGGACTTTCCTCTTCCTCGCTATCTACAACCGATGTAAGATAGCTGCTGCTGCTACTTTGTTCAGACGTTGACCTAGAGGCGGCCTCACTACTGTTTCCCTCATTGGAGGGTTCTCCCTTTTCAGCTTCAGAGATGGAGGCGGCCTCTTCACCACCTCCACTATCAGACCCCAAGATTCCATCACTAAGGGTGCTAGGGGTACCTCCAGGAGATCCCCTTGTCATCTCAGCCTGATCCATCTCAGGCGGCTTTTCTTCGGAGCTTTCTCCTTTATGTTCCGGGTCAACAACCGTTTTTCTAGTTCGAGCCATAGTGTCCTGCACAGACACGGAGATGGTCGGATTGGGAGATGGACAAGGGGGATCACAGTACCCAAAGGCGGCTCCCCCAGTCCTAGACTCAACCGTACTAGGGGACCGATTGCCCTCTAAATCGTGGTGTGTCGTGTGTGTAGTTGGTGAATCCGTTTGTTTTTAAAAGAGAAATACATAAACGAAAATACATGAAAGAGTTGAGGGAGGTAGAAACGATACCTCAAAAATAAGCTGAAAAAACAAAGTGCCGACCGGTTGAGCTAGCAGGCGAAAATTAGTTGATGGCTTATAAGGGGTATAGGCGCTTGACCGGATGTACCCTCTAGGAAAGCAGGTGTATCTGTTGGGGGGTACTTGAGCGGTGTTTGGAAGTTTGAACTAGTTGATGCATAGACGGTATACCCGTATGTTCCTTTGGAAATTAAAGAAATTGTTTGCAAACCCCTCAAACAGTTTTCAAGAAGCTGTGCTGTCTGACAATCACAGACGTCTTACCAGATGTGTTTACAGGCAAAGCAGGCGGGTTTTCACTACAATTCTCTCTGGAAGCCGATTGACTCTCTTTTTCTAAAACTTTGGAAAATGTCCAAATGAAGGGGGTAAACGGCTATATAAAGGAGGGTAATGTGAAGGGGCATCCTTGTAACTCCTTTAGTAGGCGAACGGTTATCACCGTCAGCCAATGATCGAGTGACAAGTGTCACAGATGCCACGTGGCATGCCACGTCACATATGTGAGGGGAAAATGTTTAGGGTAAAAATACCCTATGCCACGTGGACCAATCAACGTGTGACACGTGTCACCTTCAGAGTGGTTCACAAGAACCAATCCCCTCTGGACACGTGGCACGTGCTTCAAGACCTATAAATAGGGATATGCTTCCCCAATGGAAACAAATTCACATTTAATTCCAACAAACCAAGCATATTAATTGCAGATCATTTACTCCTGATCTCGTAATTCGAGAGGATTCTTAACTTTCGCATTTATTACAGACTCTATACCCGTTCTAACTTGATCGTTGGAGGCAGAACTGCCCCAACCGGAGTCTTCGTCGTTTTGCAGGTACAGACGTCCGAATTCCAGTGTTGGTGTTGTAACTCTTCCGAAGGACACAGAAAACCCCGAAACGAGGTTGGTCACGGATTGTAGTTTGTTTGCAGTTTCCTCTTTCAATTTTTTCGATCGAAGGAGTTTCAGAAGGATGTCCCTTGATGTCCTTTGTTTGAACTTAGTAGTGGATTTTCAATCTATTACTTTGATAAATACCTATCTTAACGCTGCTCACCAAAATGAAATGTTTGGGGGCCTACGGAGGACAATTTTGGAGGTTCATAGTATGAAATTGGTCTCTTCCTTTGAGAAGAGATCAATGGTACCCACAATTAAGGGTATTGAATCACTTGAATTGGTGATTTAGTTTGTGTTGTTAAGCCCTCATTGCTTTGTTTTCCTGCCCAATTTTCTTAATGTAATAGGCACTTGGTGTCCTTTTCAGCTCGTTAATATGTATGCTAGAATTTGTTTGTTCGTCGTCATCCTCCAATGCATTCTCCAAGTTCAATGGAAAGTGGAATACAAAATTAGGATGGTGTGTTCCTCGTCGCATGCTCTAACGCAAGTTGCAGATTATTCAAACCTGCAAGATCAAACATGGAAGTACTTTAATTAATATTTTCTCTTTGTAATAGAGGAGCTCACAAGACTCGTAGTTTATAATACTTTTAATACAATTTAAACCGTTGTAAAAAAAAAAAAAAAAAAAAAAAAAAAACGCTAGGGTGACGGACAGAAAATGAACGGGAAAAAAAACAACAAATAGCAACATTACCCTTGTTTCTCTCTTCGATATTTTGAAGCTCAAAATTGACGGAAATCACCACTTTGCACTGCTGCCACCGCCAGCCGCACCTTCCAGAGTTTCAGCCACCGCCCACGGGCCATCGCACCTCCGCACAGCCGCACTCCAGCCACTGTGTCCAACCCTCTAGGTAGCTTAATTCCATACTTTAAAGATTGATTTTGATGTTTTTAATTTCTTATTATAAACTAGTTGTTGGGTTGATTTTGTGCTTAAATGAGATTTTTATGTTATTTAATCTATCAAATCAGTGTGGTTGTTGTTCGATATTGATGTTTTGTTATTTAATTCATCAAATAGGGAGTTAGGGTTTCTGATTTTTTAGGAATTGATAATATTGATTTTCTGATTTTTTTTCTTTGAAATTGATATTATAAATTTATAATAGGCTAGTGAAATTGATGATTTGATATTTAATCTATGAAATTATTTGAATTTGAAGAGTTGAAGCAAGAATGATGTGCGTTATTCATTACCATCTTAACACTTCGATAAGATGCAGAATTGTATCTTTCCTTTACCAATTAACATTATCATAGCGGTGCTGATTGTATCTTTCTTGATTAGACTACATATGAAAAGATGCAAGGTTGCCAATGTCAGCTGCCCTATTATTTTTTAAGATATGCTGTAGCCTTCAATGCATGCATGCTGTATTTTGATAATATGTAGGTGAAAAGTGTACAGAGATGAGATAGACGTGTTTTAGCATCATGCCATTCTTTGTTCAGAGGTCATTGCCAAATTAGAGGGATTTTGAAATTCACAGTTTCCTTGTGCTCTTGTAAATCCACTAATTCATATAAAGTATTCTCCATTTCGACTAGACTTTCCTGCATAGTTTTTTTTTGCCATTAGTTGCAGTTATAGTGATTACTGCTCACTACTAATGTCATGACCTATAACCTGATAATTTAGGCCTTTATGATTTTGTACAATTTGCTGGCCTGTGATATGCAGTTTCAGCAGTTTTTAACTATTTTATATGTTTTTAGATGTTTCCTTGTAAAGAGTCTTGGATTCTTGCTGATGGGTGCTCCTAAACAAAAGTGGACAGCAGAAGAAGAAGCAGCTCTAAAAGCTGGAGTACGCAAGCATGGGTCTGGTAAGTGGCAAACAATACTTAGAGATCCAGAGTTCAGCAATGTCCTATGCTCCCGTTCAAATGTGGATCTCAAGGTATGGTACTGAGTCCTTTTAGGGGAATTGAAGCTTTGATTTATATGAACATACTTTAACATTGTGAAATTGATAGAGGCAAGGAAAATTCTATTTCAGCTTGAATGACTGTTCCTATTTGTTTGTATTGAACTTGTGCTAATACAGAATTTCATCATCATTCTTGACAGGATAAGTGGAGAAATATTAATGTGACTTTGAGTGGCTTAGGATCTAGAGAAAAAGCTAGGCTAGCACTTAAGAGGAATCCACAAATCCCCAAACTTGATGACAAGCCTTCGGTGGTGAACCATTTTAGGAGTGATGAGGATGCTGTTGAAGATGAACTTGTTGGTACCCCCAGTGAGACAGTTCAGGTTGCTGATTCGAAGAAAACATATACAAGGTCATACTCCTTTTGTCATTATGTTGACCTGTTCTTTATTTGTATAACTTGGTGTATGAACTGTGGTGTTGTTATAACCAAATATGCTACTCTTGCAGCCCGTATAAAATCTAAGACTGGACTAGTAACATCTGGTCTGTATAGAGTTTCATGGTTAGTGTTGATATACTGTGCTTTATCTGCTCATCCCAGAATGCATAATTGCATAATTGAGTTAGGTCTTTATAATGGATACTTGACTACAATCACTTTAATAGTGTGTTTGTTTTAAAGGAGATGGAGGGAAAGGATGGGACATAGAGGGGTGGAGTATCTTTCATTTGGATAACAAATGAGGAAGGAAGGGAATTGGAGGGGAGAGAAATGGAGGAATTAAATTGTAAGAATTGATAGTGGAGAGATTTGGAACTTCCCTCCCCTCCCTTTCCCTTTCCCTCCCTCATCCCCTACCTCTCCTTCTTTTCCACCCCTAAACAACCGGAAAACCCAATAAAAATATAAAATCACATACTAAAGGTGGGTGTTCTTGTTTTGAAACTCTATGTTGAGCCATTATCTGCCCACCCAAGATGCAAAGAGGTAGTTGAAATTTACAGCTTGTTTGGATAAGACTTAGGCCCTGTTCACTTAACCTCATTTTTGTTGAACTGAAATTATTTAAATTATTTTTGCTGAAATTTAATTACTTTTATTGAATTGAAATTAATTTTATAAAATTGAGATTATTTTCACCGATTCTCTATTATATTTGTTCTTTACAACTAATATTTACTAAATTGAATATTATTTTTTAAGGTGAAGTGAACAAGGTCTTAAAGAGGGAAGAGGTGAGGATGGGTTGAAAAACACTATTCCCCTATATCTTTGCGACAGAAAGAGTTCCATGAACATGATCTTTTTTCCCCAATCACAAATATTTACAAATTTGTAATTCTTGTGAATTTTACCTGCTTCTTGAATACTTTGATCTATGTTAATCAGAGACGGCTAATATCGCGAAGTGTCCGTGTCGACACTACACTTCACGGACACGGATACGGGACACGTGTTCGATTCTTTACTGTGCACTCGGACACTTCCATTAAGAGATGAGAGGAAAAAAAGAGAAGAAACATGAAAGAAAAACATATCTTGTTCGAAAACCACCATTAATATAGAGAAGATGGAGAGAAAAAGATTGCCATTTATTAGGAGAATTTACCGAGGAAAGAATTATAATAAAAAAAAAATAGGGGTAGACACAATGAAAAATTTAAAGCTTTTGTAATATATAATTTATTTATATAAATTTAAGTGACGTATTGACGTGTCCCCGTACCCGTGTCCAAATAGTCCCCGTGTCCTAAAATTTTGGAACTTGCCGGATTGGACACTTGGACATGTGTTCGTGTTTGACACCCGTTCCCGAGATTATGTAACATAGCTTTTGATATATATATAAAATAATTGAGAAATTGACTTAGGCTTCAATCATCCTTCCAAACTTTCCAATTATGGAGCAAATTGTTTATATAAGATGAAGGAAAAATCTTTCCACTTTTCTGCCCTCCATTTAACTCATCCTCACAATCTGGAATCCAAACAAGGCACCCCCTATCTTTCCCTTTAAATCTCTCTATCCAAACAAGCTGTTAGTGATACAAATTGTGGCAATTAAAACTAACGTGAAACATTGATTGACATAAGAGAAAGGATGAGAGGTGTATAGTTGCTAGGTTATTCTTTTGTGGGTTCATTCTTTTTTGTAGGGCCCTAAAACAGATTTAAAAAGTTGTAAAAGGGTTGATGAGTGGGGTTATGCTTTATGTGATGCTGTGTTTAGGAAGCTATGCTAGCTTTAAGAGTTTACAGTCTGTTGATATGGTATGATTTTTTAATATTTCGATAATGATTGTCATTCTGTATTTTGTTTTTGCTTAGGCTGGATAACCTCATATTGGAGGCTATAACAACTCTTCAGGAGCCGAAAGGTTGTGACAGGAATGCAATTGCCATGTACATAGAGGTATTAGAGGCTATAACAACTTACCATCAGCTGTACTCAGAAGCCAGAATAACTTTTTTATTTAATTGCCATCTTCCAGTCTTTGGTTGCTGTAAAAAAAACTGCTTTTTGACATACTTCTATGACTTTTTATGCTTGTAACTGCTCAATATGTTGATTTTCTTATCATCGCCGACTAATTTTTTGCATCCTATGGCAGTAGCTTTAACAATTTACTGTCAACTAGTTATCAGTTTTGTCTTGCTTAAGTGATGGATTTAAAATATGAAATTGCGGTATGTTTATGTTATTCACCTTCATAGTTGCTTTATATAAGTGGTTCCTGAGTTTTGTTCCAGCTTTATTAAGGATGTGTTATGATTTGTTTATCAATTTTGGAGCATTATCTGTATGTGGATTCTCTGCTGATATCATTTAAGAATTAATTTATCACTTTTATCAGTAACTAACTCTTCTTGTTAGTTGTGGATCAAGAGTTCTCATGAAGTAGGGCTATCTAAATCCAAATATAGAATTAGCGCTAGTAATAGGGAGATATTTATGCTTTCTCAAACATCAATAATTTGCTTTGAACACCAAAGCAGCTATTATTACATCAGATAAGCATATTCCAATTATTATATTTTCTTTAGTGAAAGAGAAGGGCAAGCCCCAAGAAACAAAGAAAACTAGCCAACTAAGAAAAGAAAAGGCAACATAAATGAACAATTGGAAAAGGAAAATTACTAACTACTGAACTCCCTAGCTGGCACTAGTCTTTATCCTTCAAAGCTTCTGGAACCAATCTAGCCCAAGCTACACCACTTAGTCCTCCAATAAAATAGCATGAAGGTCCTTCCGGACCGCCTTTAACAACAGTAATATCTGTTCCACATCCACTTTATGCTGCTGCTTTTTCTTCATCCTACTTTTGTTTTTTTTTTAAATATACTTTGACTTATTTTAATTATGTAGTCATGTTCATGATGTATATGAATCTCCCAAAATTACCCTATTACTTTCATTGGTAAGCTGAGGGTAAAGAAAACGAATCGCAAAGAATGACCAAATTGATTAGAGTACATACTACCATCCACTTTTTGGCCTGAAGAAGATTAATATTTTTCCCTCTTTCATTTTGTTTTCTTTCCTTTCCTTTTTTTTTTTTTTTTTTTTTTTTTTTTCTTTCCTTTTTTTACAATTTTATTTACTTTAATGTCCTCCCTGTCCTAAGTTCTAGTTATCCCTACTCTCCCGTCATCACAAGCCAAGAACCTCTAAATCCTCTTAGAATTAGCACACTTAAAGAACAAGTGCGACACACTTTCATTTTCAGCAAGACAAAAAAGAAAAAAAAAAAGAAAAAAGAGAAATAGGATCCCAAGGCACATGCCAAGCAGTCAACCTGTTTTTGGTAACCAGCTTATTACAAACAGCTTATTAATTATGTAGTCATGTTCATGATGTATATGAATCTCCCAAAATTACCCTATTACTTTCATTGGTAAGCTGAGGGTAAAGAAAACGAATCTCAAAGAATGACCAAATTGATTAGAATACATACTACCATCCACTTTTTGGCCTGAAGAAGATTAATATTTTTCCCTCTTTCATTTTGTTTTCTTTCCTTTCCTTTTTTTTTTTTTTTTTTTTTCCTCTTAGAATTAGCACACTTAAAGAACAAGTGCGACACACTTTCATTTTCAGCAAGACAAAAAAGAAAAAAAAAAGAAAAAAGAGAAATAGGATCCCAAGGCACATGCCAAGCAGTCAACCTGTTTTTGGTAACCAGCTTATTACAAACAGCAAGCGAAGTAGTACAAAGATTTTAGGAGAAGCTTTATTATTACAAATAACCATCTTTCAATTAATTTTAGCTCCTTGAGGCCTGATCAAAGCATATAACTCTCATTTTCCCCTGATGCACTTCAACTACCAATTTCATCAATTATTGCCCTGCATTTCAGATTCCTTTTCAGAACCCAAGAACATTTCTTAGGTATAGGAGCAGACTAGAACTCTGTATATATGAAATAATGTATATGAACCCATTTGACCCTACATGTTATCTGCTTTGTGAGCAAGAACCCACATCACCTTGGTTATTGCAGCCTTGTTCCAGTCACCAAGAGAAATAGCATTCCATCCCCCACAAAACTACCGCACACCAGATTCCAGGAAATCAGGGCCTTCTTAGAAGGGTTAGCTTTCCCTGTCCAAAGAAAGCACCATCCTGATTAGCCTCTGAAAATCCACGAAATATACCTCACTCTTTCTCAAATTTGAAGAAAACCTATACTCATAAAGAACTTATGAAAAGCTACAAACAGGGAGTATAATGAATATCAACTCTAGAGAACTCGAGCAGATTTTCATATTCACCAGCAAACATCGTGTGAGTGATGTTTAGATTCTCACATCTAGGATGAAAGTTGAAATTTGGATTAAGTGTCAGCTCATGCTTGGACAACTAGTCCATACTCCCCCCCCCCCCCCCCCCCCCCCCCCCGGGCGTGTAATTTATTCGTGCCACTTGACCATTTAAAGTGATGCTCTCTTAGTTTGATTTGGTGGTCGATTACATGTGCTAATTTGGCTTACAGACCTGAAAGCAATTCTTGTATCTGGCTGTTAAAGAGAGAAAGAAAAAGATCCAACAGTGCTAGGAAACTCCCAATTTATTACCAAATTGCATCTTTTTACAGGCAATAGCCCTATCATTGACTGTATCTTTTTACAGGCAGCGTCTTGTTTATTTTTCTTACATTTTTTTTTTGTGGAAAATAGTATAGCTATTTATTTATTTGTTTATTTTTATTCTAGTTGGTGTCGGAAAGGCTTCTGACATTATTTTTCTTAATATATAACCAAAGTTCTGACTCACATTTTTCTTCTGCTAGGAGCGGTTTTGGGCACCTCCAAATTTCAGTAAATTATTGGCTTCAAAATTGAAGTTTATGGCATCAAATGGCCAGTTGATTAAGGTGAGGATGTTTGAAGTAGGTTTTTGTTGGAAGACATGAGTCCACATGACTGTTGTAAAAATTGCTGACAACAAGCATCATCAGTTCGTAAAATTTTAGCTGTTTGGTTGTCACCCTTTGGGTTGCTTTTAATGCATTTATATTTTTCTTTGCTTGGTGTGATTGTGTAAATTGAGTGAGTTGACGACAAGATTTTTATTTCATGTTTCGTATAGCCTCTATTTAGGATTTTTTTATTATTAATTTATTTTATTTTATTTTATTTTTTTATTTTTATTTATTTATTTTTTTTTTTTGGGGGGGGGGGTGTGGGGGGTGGGGGGATACGACACCCTATGGATTGAGAGAATTGGAGCGAAAGGAAGAGAAGAGAAAATAAGGGATTCATCCTCGCTTCTTTGGATACCATTGATAGAAAGGAAGGGAAATGGAAGGATTCATTTTCCCTCCCACTTTAATAAACCAAATCCTTCCAATGTTGGAATGATTTGGAGGGAAAATGTAACCTAACTTTCTCCCTCCCCTCCCCTTCCATTCGTCCCCCTTCCTTCTTCTTCTCTCCCTTCCCTTTATTTCCCCTTTGCCATGCAAACAAACCAAAAGTTTAAATGTCTAATTGAGACCTTTTATAGGGCTGACCTGGAATTGCATCACTTGTTATCTATTCAAATGGTTTTTTGCTGAGCATTCACATCCACTTTCTCTTCATGTGATGTATCTTAGATCTCAGGTTTATTTTACAACTGTACTGTTAATTAGCTGCTTTCCAGAATGGACATACTAATGTGGGTATTGGTTTTAATTGTGCCAGGTTAAGCACAGGTATAGAATATCTGAGAGTTTACCTTATTCTGAGACAAGAAAAGATTTATTGGATAGTAAATACAAGGACCATGCTAAGCCAGAAAGCAAGGAACTTAAAATTTTTACAAGGTCAGAAGTTGTTGCAGAATTGGGGAAAATGAAGAGTTTGTCGCCTCATGAAGCTGCTTCTGCGGCTGCTCGAGCAGTTGCTGAAGCAGAAGTTGCTATTATGGAAGCTGAGAAGGCTACAAGGGAGGCCGAGGCTGCAGAAGCTGAAGCAGAAGCTGCAAAAGTATTTGCTGAGGCAGCAATCAAAGTGTTAAAGTGTCAAAACCTTCGTGCGTGGTAAGTTCAATCTTAGTTTTGCTTATTATGCTTTTTTGGTAAGCATTATTGGTTAGATGGTACATCTAAAGAAGCATGTCATACTACTTAGATACCTTTCGTTGTTCCAAAAATTTATAGAGATTGTTAAATGCGTAATATTATCGATTCTGTTGAATAAAATAAATAAATCAATCAATCAAAGCCTTAATCCCATAAGTGGGGTCAGCTACATAAACCAAATTTGATTATTCCGTGTTATCATCGACAAAGATCCTCCTCCTCCATCCCTCACGATCCAATGCCTCGTCCTCATGCAAATCTATATACTTCATATCCTTCCTTACTTCTTCCAACCAAGTCATTTTTGGTCTCCCTTTTTGTCGTTTTACCCCTCCATGGTCCCACTCTTCCACTTTTCGTACCGGTGCACCCTCGGGTCTTCGTCTTACATGTCCAAACTAATGCAGACGATTTTCCCCTAGTTTGTCTACAATGCCTACCACACCTACCTTCTTGCGTATAACCTCATTTCTGATTCTATCTCTTAGAGTGTTCCCGTACATCCACCTTAACATTCGCATTTCCGTAACCTCCATCTTTTTAATGTGCTCCTTCTTAGAAGCCCAACATTCTATACCATAGAGCAACACTGGTCTTATGGCAGTTAATTTTCCTTTCAACTGTAAGGGAATGCTTCGGTCACATAACACTCCCGTGGCCGCTCTCCACTTAAGGCACCCCGACTTAATCCCGTGGGCCACATCTTGATCAATGTCACCATTTTTCTGGATGTTCGACCTAAAATTTTTAAAACATTCGCTCATGGTCAAGTCCTTTCCATCCAAACTCACTACCTCATTGCTTGTCCCCCTCTGAGTACCATAGCGGCATACCAAATATTCACTCTGTAGATTCCAATCTTTGCCTCCATTGCTCTAACTTGACATTAACCCCATCTTTAGTTTCATCCACCAAAACGATATCATCTGCAAACAACATACCTCTTGAATTAGTCTAGTTACTTCATCTAGAATCGTTGCAAAAAGGAAAGGGCTTAATGCAATCCAATTGTAATAGGGTAATCTTTTGTCAACCCTCCACACGTCTCACATTTGTTGACACATTCCGACACATATCCTTAACCTGGTCCATGTACCTTCGTGGATATCTTTTTTCAACATTCCCCACCAAAGTACCTCTCTTGGCACCTTGTCATATGCCTTCTCTAAATCAATAAAGACCATATGCAGATCCTTCTTCTTTACCCTATAAAACTCCATCATTTGTCTTATCAAATGGATTGCTTCCATAGTGGATCTCCCTGGCATAAAACTAAATTGGTTATTCGAATTGCATGGGCATTCCCTTAACCAATTTTCAATCACTTTTTCCCACAACTTCCTAGTGTGACTCATAAGCTTGAAAGTTAAAAGTTAGGCAATTAACTGAGGAAGTGTTGAGAATGCTCTTAACCAAAGCACATTTTTTACTTTTACTTTCTTGCCAATTAAAGGGATTTAGCATCCCCCCCCCTCCCACTGGTTCTCTAATAGGTTATTTTTTCCTCAGTCTTCATTGAACATTTTGAATTTAATTAGTTTGCTCATCATCTTGTAATTATATTGCTCTTGGCGAACCCACAATGGAGTTTAGTTTAAAGGTCGCTCTCACTCCTTTCTTATCTTGGAAGACATCTAAATTGGTTGAATTGCCAAATTTGTATATTAAGTTCCTAACTAGGTAAATAAATCATCTTTGGTGACGATTATTCCTAAAAATTTTCTAGATTTCACTAAAACTAGTATATGCATATGCACATTTTATATATAGGTTGGGATCTAATAAGAAGATTCTCAAGTCAAGAAGGATTTAATGTGCAAACTAATTAATAGCATCAAACACACCCAAACACACACATTTACAAGGGAGCAGAAGCAAAAGTAATAGCCGCACCCCACCTAACTACTTAACAATTTCTCATTTCTCATATACCTTATGAGTAAAAGCCTAAAGGCACTTCAAAAGTTACAAAAATACCAAGGGGGATGTTGAAGATGAAATCGTATGCAAAATTTATTGGCAAATTGAAATTCTTTATCTTATGTGAAGATTAAAAGGGCATTAACTCTTGTGATATGCGCTTAATTTTGATTTGTGAATAACTTGTTTATGGTTTGAATTTATGAGGGACTATAGGCGTCTAGAATTAACATAGTTCAGAATTCACTATAATTTGTCCAAAATTTACTAAAACTAGTGTCCCTTCGTTTTCTTTTATTAATCTTACTTAAAATCTTGACATTATTCACAATTTGAAGGAATCATTTAAATAATCCGAATCTATAAGATAAAATTTAGTAAAGTAAAGTTTATTTAATCCGTCTTAAAGAATACTATAAGAATTTATAATTTTTATAATTTGTAATGATACATAATTAGAGATATTATGATGCGTATGTTAATCCAAAAATATATTATGGGAATAAAGTGAACAATGTTAAAGGACCAACCCAACCAAAAGTTTAAGTTAATGGTTGAATTCTAAAACTGATTGATATACTCTATCATGCCTCATGAAAGACCGTTGAGCTTGAAATGTGGTGGTTGCCGCATGAGTCTTCCCATAGGACCTAATATCCTAAGTTAATTGTTCCACTTGAACCGAGGGATTCATGTGATTTGATCCGTGACCGTTATGTCACTCTAGATATTGATGTCATGTAAAAGGGTCAACTTAATCAAAAGTTTAAGCTAATGGTTGAAGTCCAAGATTGGTTTATATATTTTATCAAAATTTAGCTCAAATCTATTAGTCGTTGACTTGGTGAGGTACTTCTTGGTGAATAGTTCAATAATTCATTTTAGCATTTATGGTGAGGTTTTGAGAAATTGGGTAAAGAGAAATAGCATTTAAGGGATGGAAGGGCATTGCAAAAAGTTAGAAGAATAAAACAAAATCCGAGGGGTTAATATGCACTTGGTACCTTTTGTGAGATCATTGCACCATATGTTTTTAGAATTCATCCAATGTAAATCATCATTTATGCTTTCATATGCACGACTGCATACACATGAAAAATAAGGACTAGGAGTTTTATGATTCATCTTTTACTGATCTTCTTGAGAATTATGTCAACTCTTTCTGGCTCATTGCTTGGGAAACTTAATCAAACATTCTAACACAAACGCACGCACATCACGCCTACCTCTCACCTCGGTGGGGAGAGGCTTTTCTCCAGGTTCTGATTTTGACTGTCCAATGTTTATTTGTGCAGCTGACATGTGTTGCTATCTGGCTTACCAACTAATGCTACTTTAAATGCCTGGCACAAAACAAATAGATCAACTTCAATGTTCCAACGCACTGTAGCGTGCCATTGTGTTCATAATTATAGTTTAAAATGCTTTCTCTTGTAAATTTTTGGTACTGATATCCATGTGAAGAAACAATTTGCTCAGAACCTTCTTTTATGGAAGAATTGAGAGTTTGATAGGATGTTTATAGGTTCGGAAAAAAGGAATGAAATGAGGAACATAAAGTGCAAAGAGTTTCAAATTCCAAATTGAAAATCTTGTTTGTTTATTTATTAATTTATTTAAACTTTTTTTGAATTTATTTTTTATTTATTTACCAAGTGTCTTCTTATAATTATTGTTTCAACCTGAGATGTGGGCTAATTCATTGATTATAAAACAATAACTTTATGCGCTACGAAATCCATCACAAAATTAAGGATTCAGGGTAATTATCCACCTAAACAGAAGGATTCCAGGTACCATCATCAAAGGGAGGCAAGTAAGTAATTGAGCTCTGCTGCCTTCTTCCTGTTTTCTCACTGACTTTCTTGCTTGTTGCACGTATAAGTTCTTATCGTGTTGTTAATTACTCCTAGACCACTAACAATATTAGCCCAAGATGCCAGAATCACCATCAATTTTGTGCATCTCAACACGACGTAAGCTGCATGCAATAAAATCTTCACCATCAATTAGCAGGCGTGAAGAGGCATCTTTAAATGCCTCTAGTTAGCTTTCCGTAGCTTCGATCACATCAGCAGATAGCTTTCTGTTATTACCGCATAAATCTAGAGGACACAATGACATGGTCCAAAACGGCTTCGTGTTCTTGTACAGTATCTGAACCAATGCAAAGCTTTGATCAGTTCTCTTGTACAGTATCTGAACCAATGCAAAGCTTTCATCAGTTCACCTATTCCAGCCTCCTTCCACACATACAGAGAAGGGACATTCCTTTAAAGTGCGAAGATTGTATTATTGATCACATGGACATCCTCTATGTGCTTAAGTTACTTCTGGTTGTTGGTTTTGCTCCTTTACATGTGCACTAGGAATACACCTACACTTTTTAATTTGGTTGTTGAGGAGGGCTGAAGGGTGGTGGTGCAGGTGGGGTGTGTGTGTGTGGGGTGGGGGAGGGGGGAGGCAAAATTTAAGTAGTTTAGTGTAGACGTCGTAGGAATTGATCTAATTTATCACAACTGCATGCGCTTGGCTATCTTAGGAAGATGTGAAATTGACATTTTATTGAATAGGAAAAAGGTCAAAGTAGAGAGTCGCCAACAAGTCATTTATGGAACTTGTACATCGTTCATGGATTATTAAAGAAAAAAGGACTAGATAAGCATGACTAGGGACAAATCCAAAGGTAACAATGATTTGATCAATGAAGGTTACACCTCATTCACAATACATGATTTTAGTAACTCCATGCGAATATGAAACATCAAGGGGGGTTCGGCGATGATGGTATGAAATTGAATCAGGAACAAAATTTCATCTGTATCGCCTCTACTCGATTCTTATTATGATATGTAAAAGTTGCAATCAAAATGATATTATAACAAGTATTTAGTTTGCTCCAAACCAGATTATATTAAGTCGGTTGAATATTAATGTACATGTAAAATTGTCAATTTGTGATTACTTGATTAAACAATTAGATTACTTGGTTCCTTAATCGGTTAGCAATAATTACCTTATTAATCGTGATTTTCAAATATCGGTCTCAATTCTCATGCATTAGATCATGCGAATAAAGCAATAAAATCATGTAACGCAAACAAATCATGTTACAATTACTATTGAAAGAACCTTAGCATGATACCAGCGATAATCCACCAACCTACACATGATACTAGTAATAATCAAAGCAATTAAATAATTAGAGTAGTAAATCCAAGAGTATAATACCCCGTATTTTTTAAGTATTTTATATGTTATTAAATATTTATAAAGCATATTTTTAAGGGCCCAATTATTTTAATTCAAAATTCAAAGGGTTATTCCGATACCGGCATATGCGCCTATGACGATCAAGTTAGTAACCATAACACGAAGGCGTTTTAGAGAGAGAAAGTAGAGAGAAGTTAGAACAATTTTATATGCCTTGAATGATATGTCTATATCTACCCCTCCCATCATTAATGATTGGGGTATTTATAGAGGTGGGAGTGTGTGCCATCTAGTGTTTGATGACATAAAATGGTGGGAGCTAATTGGCGACGTAATTAGAGTAGGACACGTGTCCTAGAGGGGAGCAAATTTTGGTGCTTGTCTCGGGAGTTGAGCCTCTAGATGTAAGAAGGCATTCTCTCTTTCAGGTGCTCCTATGTTTTGGCACGTGTCGCCCTTTCATTGAGCCATGTGTCACTATAGGATTGGACCACGTGATGGGGCATTTTTACCCTAAACAATATGTACCTTAAAAGGCTGTTAAAGGACAGGCGTCGGTGGATTTCGTGGCTGACCATCCACCTATGGAAAACATAATGGTCCAAGAAGAGAAACCAGGGACTATGTTCTTTGATGGATCTAGTATGAGAGAGTTAGTTAGGGCTGGAATTGTGATTTATTCACCTTTTGGTGTAGTGACTAAGATGGCGATTACTTTTCAACTCAATGCACAGATAATAAAGCAGAGTTTTAAGCCTTGGTAATTGGATTGAAGATGCTCAAAGATATGGGACTTACAAGAGTTAAGGTGTTGGGCGATTCGCAATGGGTAATAACCCGAGTAAACAAAGAATATAAGGAATTTCACCCCTGGCGACGACTTTCTCATCTATTATTCAAGAGCTTATCAATGCTTTTGAATATATTCAAGTCTCCTATATCCCAAGAGAAGAAAATAATAGGTTGAGTTTTGTCACAATAAGCATCATTGCTTGATTGCAAGGGTTTTGATAAATCAGTTATTGATATACGCACATCAAAAGGTGAAGGAAGAAGTGCACAAGTACGACATGGTTGCTCAAGACACATATTGGAGAAAAGAGATTAAGGAGTACTTAAAAGACCCTTCAAGAGGAAAAGTGTCAGCTAAAGTTAGACTAACAGCTACAAATTACTTTCTTATGGGAAGTAAGCTGTTTAGGAAAGATCCTCAAGGCTTATTACTAAGATGTGTTAGCACAAAGAAAGTATTAACCATTTTAGCTCAAGTTCATCATGGTATATGTGGGTAACACTAAACCGGGATTAAGATGAGATGGTTGATCCACCACATGGGGTTCTATTGGCCTTTTGTTAAACAAGATTGTTTACAGTATGCAAAAGGGTTTGAACATTGTCAACACTTTAGACCAATAAGTAGGGCACCATCGATAGAATTGCACCTTATAATCAAGCCTTGGCCTTTTAGAGGTTGGGCGGCGGATGAAATTGGGCATATTACACCTCCCTCATCATCTCACTATGAGTACATCCTGATAGCTACAGATTATTTCACAAAGTGGATTAAAGTCCAAGCTTTTAAGAACCTAAATGCAAGGGCGGTAATCTTATTCTTAGAAGAGAGAATCTTTGCAAGATTTGGGATTCCTGAATCTATAACAGTGGATCAAGCTACCATGTTTACAGGGCATGAATTCAATTTCTCTCTCAAGGAATTTGATATACAAAATATCCAATCAACCCCTTATTTAGCCCAAGCTAATGGAAAGGCCGAAGCCACTAATAAAGTAAACTCTAAAGGGATTACTAAAATGGTGATGAAAATCCTAAAAATTGGCACGTTCTCCTACACTATGCTACTTGGTCATAAAGGACATCAAAAAGATACACAATTGGGACTACCCCCTATAAATTGGTATATGGGCATGAACCTGTTGTACTAGTAGAGTTAAGCGCTAAGTCTACTAGGATAGCCAGACAGATGGACGTAAGTCAAGAAGACTATCAACAATCTATGTCCATCGAATTAAGGGATATTGAAGGTGAAAGGCTTTAAGCGCTAGCCAAGATTGAAGCCCAGAAAAAACAAGTGGCAAAGTCTTACAACAAAAAAGGTGAAACATAAGATCTTTTTGGAAGGAGATTTGGTGTGGAAAATGAAACTTCCGGAACATGACTATAAAGACCGAATATTTAGTAAATAGTCCTCTAAATGTGAAGGTCCATTCAGAGTTCACAAAGTCATGTTAGGAAATGCCTATCTATTGCAAAAGTTAGATGGGGAAATGTTTCCTAGGGCACTTAATGGAAAGTTATTAAAACAGTACAACCCAAGTATTTGAGAACAATATAAGAATTTACGACAAAAGCATCCATTATTGGAGGCTTTTGACATATGAAACTTAATAATGTATTGTTTTCAAACGAAGGGACCTTTTAACTGCAACCTTACGTTTAACCTCGCCTAATAAAACCTTGCATTTGTTCATCAGTGCCATCTGACTACCATTGTGATCAAACTGATATAAAGATTCTTGTACCAGTGAAGCACCCTCAGATATATATTGCTTCAGTTGTTTCTTCTCTTTTCTTTGATCAGAGATTTTTCGCTCTACCAAAGCTCTCCTAGTTTAGAGTTTCTTTTCTTCTTCCACAAGATCATCAATCTCAGCTCTCAAATGATCCATCGCCAAGTATAACTCTAAATCTTTCTTCTTTAAAAGGTCTCGTTATTGAAAAAACTTGGGATACTTTCTGAGAAATGTCAGAGATCATCAAAGGAGGAAGATATGAGCTTATCTTAGCCAATTTAATGGTACATGCTCAACAAGCGATAGACAAGTTCTCCCATTAAACAAGATCATTTAGTCCCCAGCAAATGAACTTGAGCCATAAGTTCAAGGATAACTTAATTTATATCTGTAGCGTTTCCTGCAATTTTACTCTCTCATTGAGATCTAGAACTAAGGAGTTTGATCTCTGGAGATGTGGATGGTGGTATACAATCAACAACAAGAGTCAGACAAAATGAAAGACTCAATAAGCATTATAACTTTATGAAGCTAGAATGTTTACTTTCATTTGATGTTTGATTAGAAAAAATCTTGGTGTTTCCAATCCCTTGATCATAAAGTGTTAACACCAAAAAATAATGAGGTACGTGAGATATAAAGTAAGGGAACCTAGAAGGAGGGTTTGAGTACTATCACTTACTTAAGTCTGGAGATGCACTTTTTTCCAGGGGCTTCCTCACAAAGACTTGACTCTACGTCATCAAATTCTTGATGAGCAGTCTGAAGTTCAACATCCCTAGCTTGAACATCTGAGGTGTTTCTTTGCACCTTCGCATGAGTGAATTCTGTGGTCTTTCTTTCAACTTTATCATGAATCTCTGCCTCTTGCTCAGAAACAAACACATAAG